TTTCCGCCCTTCCCATTCTTCCAAAGCCATTAGTAGTGCATGGGCGCTGTTCATCCTGTGGTGCTGAAGCAGCCAAGAGTCACAAGCCTGCCTGGCTACCTCTTAGGATATGACAGCAGAGCCAGTGGCCTCTACTGGATCCTGTACAACTTCACAAAACACCCAGACACCGGGAGTGCTGCCAGCACGTGGTGCAACAGTTCTGAGGGATCACAGTCTTGAAGACATTGAATGGTGGGTGCAGGGCCTCATGGCCTGTTCCCCAGCCCCTCTCATTGGCTCTGGTCCAGGTGGTGAAGGGGGAAAATATTTTTGTCAGTTCTGCCATGATTGCCAGCAAGAAAAGGAGCAGAGCCCAGAAGCAGTAAAATGAATTAGTAAAGTCAGTTTTCTTTTCTGAACTGCATTTCTGCCATCTGTAAGTTGAGGGGAATTCCTTCTACCTCGAGGCTGCATGGGGAATGACTGACAGTGTGTGTAGAGCAGGTACCACCAGCAGCATTTGGTGTCCAGACCACTCCTCTTCCCTCTTGATTTTCTGACTGCATTTGCATTTTGTTCCCAAGACCTTCACTCCCCTTAATTTGCTCTTCCCTCTGATTCCACCTTATCTTCTATTTCCATGGATTCACCAGGATCTGAGTGGGTAACTGTCATGTATGCATGTGTGTGTATGTACATATACCCTGTGTGGTGTTGGAGTGTGGTGTGTGTGTGTGTGTGTGTGTGGAGAGAAGAGAGAGAGAGAAAGAAATGTGTGAGAGAGAAGAGGAGAGAAAGAATGTGGTGTGTGCGTGAGAGAGAGAGAGGGGAGAGAGCAATAGAGAGAGAGAGAGAGGAATGTTGTGTGTGTGTGTGTGTGTGTGTGTGTTTTGGGGTCACTGAGGGACTGAAATTCTCCACCCCAGGCTGTGCTCATTGCTGGAAGTGCTGTCAGGGCCCTTGCCGTTGACCCTCCAGGTCTCATTCTTGCAGTGCAGGCAGGGCATTCCTGGAGGAATCATTCCCTTGGAAGAGCCCTGAGAAGTGACTGGTAGGTAAGAGTGGATAAATACCCAAACTCCCTTGCTCTGGGTAGGATGACTCTGAGACACATGTTCTATGCTGTGTCTCAGAGGTACCCGGCAGGGCTGAGTCCTGACTGCCCACAGTGGAAACTTTCTTGATGAAGGTCCCTTTAACTGCTGCATTCCATTCCTGTTTCAGTTCCCCACTCCTGTACTAGTGTTTCCTGCAATTAGTACCCTAAGGAAGAACTGGCAGCATAATTGCTGTCCTAGAGTCATCTCCAGATAAAATTTTTATACTTGAATCTTTGCCTCAGGATCTACTTCCAGGAAACTCAAACTAAGACACACATTTTTATTTCAGCTCCTCCAATCTTCATAGACCTGTCACTGTGCTGTTTTTACCAAAAATGATCATGAGGATCAGAGAGGGAAAGTCACTTGCCTAAAGTCACACAGCTGAACAGTGGTGGAGTTCAACTTTGACCATGGGCTGTCTGATCCCAAGGTTTATACTTGTTCCTCTCCCAAGAGACTCCTCTCTTATCAGGCTCAAATGATGAAAGGAGGATGTTAAAGGTAGGATCTCTGAAGCCTGTGCCAGAGGAACCCAGCTCATTGCTGGCGCCCTGTGTTCTCATTCTTACTCATTAAGAGTAAAGTTTATTGAGTTTATTAAGTATCTTTAGTGAGAACTGGACCAAACAGATTTTCTGACTCTAAAAGAGATATTTTTACAGGAACAGATATATACCTATAAGTATACAGACACGCATACACATATTTCTTTACTGATCATAATTCATGTCAATTAGTCCTTATTAGATGTGGGATGTTTAAATGTAAGGTAATTTTCATGTTAAAATTGACAGATACATATTTAAATAGTCCTAAAGGAGTTTAATTATTTTTCTTTTAGAATTTCCATTTTTAATGTTATTTTTATGAGAAACTATATAACTTTATTGAAATACTACAATAACCCTTTTTTCACATTGAAAATACAATATATTCTGCAAATAACTAAAGCCTAATTTTGTATTAGCATTTTAAATTTTCAATCTTTTTTATTATTATACTTTTAAGTTCTGGGACACATGTGGAGAACGTGCAGGTTTGTTACATAGGTATACACAGGATAGGGTAGTTTGCTGCACCCATCAACCTGTCATCGACATTCGGTGCTACATTAGGATGTGGAGAAATAGGAACGCTTTCACGCTGTTGGTGGGAGTGTGAATGAGTTCAACCATTGTGGAAGACAGTGTGGTGATTCCTCAAGGATCTAGAACCAGAAATACAATTTGACCCAGCAATCCCATTACTGGGTATATACCCAAAGGATTATAAATCATTCTACTAAAAGACACATGTGCACGTATGTTTATTGCAGCACTGTTCCCAATAGCAAAGACTTGGAACCAACCCAAATCCCCATCAGTGATAGACTGGGTAAAGAAAATGTGGCACATATACACCATGGAATACTCTGCAGCCATACAAAAGCATGAGTTCATGTCCTTTGCAGGGACATGGATGAAGCTGGAAGCCATCATTCTCAGCAAACTAACACAGGAACAGAAAACCAAACACCACATGTTCTCACTGGTAAGTGGGAGTTGAACAATGAGAACAAATGGACACAGGGAGGGGAACATCACACACTGGAACCTGTCAGTGGGTGGGGCGCTAGGGGAGGGATAGCATTAGGGGTTTAATAATTTTAAAATTCAATTCTGTTGAAATTTTTACTCTAAGAAGCCATGTGTTTTTGAGAGCTAATCCTGATATATTCAAATCTTAATGACTTAAGTTGATAGAGCGAACTTCTTTTAAATTAGTGATTCCCTCATTTGCCTGACTGTTGGAATTTCCAGGGCATGTTGAAAACACAGATTATCCAGACTCTTATCTCTGCAGATGTATTTAGTGGTTCTAAAATGGCACCAAGGGACCTGGATTTTTCCCAGGGTCCCTGGGTAAGATACCTCATGACAGAGTTTGGGAAATAGTGCCTAGGAGATTTTTCACTGAGCAGTCTTCATTTGAAATGAAGATCATTTATCTTCTAATACCCATGCTTCCTCTTTCTCCTGCTCTCTTATCCTCTGCTGTCTTTCAGTTCCTAGAAGCTTTAATTGAATGACAGATCCTATATATCCTGTACCTACTAAAAACCACACTTCTGAAAGCGACATGGCCACCAGAAGCCACAGCTAGTCTGATGTAAAAGGAAAGGTTCATGTGCCTGAGGGTACAGGGGTGGAGGCAGGGAATGGAGACCCCCTACAGCCAGCAGCAGTGGCCCTCATCCACAGCTCTTGGAAGATATGAAAGGAGGGTTCCGACGGTGGCAAGTTAGTCTTTGCCCTTCGTGCTATAGACACGTTTGTTACCCCAAAAAACTGAAATCTCTGCTAAGGGATGCTGAAGCCTGACAATGCTGCACTTGTGCTTTTTTCTTGTTTGTTTGAGATTGAGTTTCGCTCCTTGTTTCCCCATGCGGTGCAATGCATGAATCTCGGCTCCTGCCAAATCTGCCTCCCTGGGTTCCAGCGTTCTCTGTCAGCCTTTCCTGGTGCGGGTTCAACCGGTCCGCCACATACCTGGACTAATTTTTTATTTTTTAAGTAGAGATAAGATTTTCGTCATTGTTGGCCAGGCTGGTTCCTCCACTCCTGACCTCGCAAGTGTTGGTTACGGCGGAGCATTGTGCCAGCCTGTTGAATTAATTTAATGTTAATAATTGCCAGCTTCAAATGCCAGCTAAGTAGCGACTAAACATGAAATTCTGTGTACTTTGATGTTAGCAGCTATATACAACCTCAATGATAATTTCTATCAAACTGACTACTTTTCACATAGGCAGGCCATTGACAGGCCATTCAGCATCTGGCTTATGTTTGGGCCAGGCTGGGTGCTTCATAAAAGTCTGGAGGGAAATACAGAGGCCAATTCTCCATAGGCATTAGACTCAGAAATACCTTGCTTCCCAGTGAAAAGTTTAAATTGACTTTCATGCCACCTTCATCAAACCGAGGTTGGTCAACACTTACCACCACTGCCACTGGACACTTCGACTTCCAATTTTGCTACCTGCTCTACAAAGATACCCCCTTCCTTCCTTTCCCGCATTCTCGCTACAACCTCGTCTTCTTTTGAGTTCATCCACTCTCTCTCATCATTGTCCATCTCTGCTTCCCAAAACCTTATATAGTACAGAAATTGACCAATCAAGATTACCATGTCAAAGAGCATCCATTTACTGAATAAGGCAGCTGGCTCCTGGGGGCAGAAAAGTGATTAGACACAGATAAAAATCATAATCCCTACTCTCCTGGACTCACTGTCCAATGGGAAGACAGACACATAAGCAAATGCAACTTGGTAACTACAACAGTCAAGTGAATTACATAATCCCGACTGAAGAAAGAGAGCTAATGTTATTATAAGACAGTGTGTCCAGTATTTACTCTGTAACAGATTTCCTGATGAACGTCTAGGCTTGCCAACTTGTTGCGTAAGAAAATTGGAACGTGGGGGAGGGGAAATACGTATACTTCTTAGTATTTCAATCCGTAAATGCATAAATAATGTAACTATTAATGATATGTTGATTCAATAAGTTTGAACCAAAATTGAGAGTCATCTTTAGAAGAAACTGTGTATGTGTCTATGTGTGTACACATGTAGAATACACATATTGCTTTCTGAAATTTTCAATGACTTTATGCTTCTTCTGAAGCAATTCAAGTTTAGAATTTGAGACCCATGGGTCAGAGTATCTTCCTGAGTGTACTGAAGAACATTTAGATTAATTTCAGATGTGTATTTTGGTTTACATAGTGTTTTTTATCCCTGCAAATTTATTTACTGTTTTTAAAATAGAGAATAACAGCAGCAACCCTGAATTGAGTGAAAGTCCTGAGAAGGGCATTGTCCAACCAGTGCGTGTGCATGTTTACACTAATCTCCTGTCTGAACCTCGGAAGTGGCTGAATGAGCTAGCAGATGATCTCTTTGGCTGTATTACAAATGATAATTTATTTTTGTTTGTTTCATTCATTCATTCATTCATTAACTCATTCATTTTGAGACGGTCTCACTCTTGTCACCCCAGGCTGGGATATGGTGATCACAATTATGGCTTCCCTGGAGCCTTCAACTCCAGGCTTCAAGCTATCCTTCCTGCTCTCGCCTTGATGTGCTGGGACTCAGGTGCACACCACCATGCCCAACTAATCTTTAAAACTTTTTTTTGTAGAGACTGGGTCTTATTATGTTGTCCAGGCTGGTCTCAAACTCTTGGACTCAAGCGATTCCTCCTTCTTGGCCTCTCAAACTGCTGGATTACAGGTTTGAGCTATATGTGGCCACGAAATCGAGATTTTAAAACCAACTATTACCTATGCAGAAATATGATGCTTCGGTTGTTTTATTTAAAAATGGGGACGCCTTAGGTTTATTGGCTCTTTTGTTTTATCAAAGAGTTTAAATGCAGTTGTGAATATTTCTGTTTACCCTTATAATAGCCTGAGAATTTACAATGAATATAATTATTGCCATTTTCACAAGTAGAATTAGAATGAGAAGATAAAACAGTGGAATACAGGTGTAGCTAAGAGTAGTAGAGGTAAGCCATCTATAGAGTATTAAAATTTCTTCCATGTGCGTTGTTAGAAATCTATAAAACCAAAATTTTTTCGTGCCTGTAATCCCAGCACTTTGGGAGGCCAAGGCGGGCAGCTTACCTAAGGTCAGGAGTTCGAGACTAGCCTGGCCAACATGGTGACGCCCGTCTCTACTAAAAAGTACAAAAATAGGCGGGTGTGCTGGTGGGCGCATGTAATCCAGCTACCAGGAGGCTGAGGCAGGAGAATTCGCTTGGAACCCGGGAAGTGGAGATTGCAGTGAGAATGAGATTCACCACTGCACTCCAGCCTGGGTGGACAGAGAGTGAGGGCCTCGTTTCAAGAACAGCAACAACAACAACAAAACAACGCCAAGAGACAACAACAAAACAAAGAACCCGAACTGTTTCTTAATACAAGCAAACGTCACTAAGCTTTCATGAGGGCTCCGATTCCTGAAGATTATCCTTTTCATGTACGCGCCCCAACCGATTAATGACAGCAAACGAATACTAAGCCATGTGAAATAACAATCCCAGCACGATGTTGGGCTCTGATGTTTTGCTGGAATTTTTTCGTTTACAGGCTGTAATTTGAAATGAAGCTGTATCCTCAAGGACCTTTTTATAACTTTCGTATTTTTGCTAGTTTGAGGGCGAAAATAAGTCTTAGGTCAGTCAACCACTCGTTGGACCCAGAAAATGGAATGAGGTAGGATGTATTGTGAAGATGGAGAGGTGTCTGCAGCAACCCTACACTCTTTCCAGCTCGCTAGGTGACCATGATAATTAAATATCGTTGATATTTCTGTGTAGTTTTAAGTTGTTTTTAATTCGTGAACCTCTCGCGAATCCTTGTTCTCATGCAATTTAACCGATGCAAAGGATTTTGATATCCAGAACACACTCCAACACTCAGAAGACAAAGCAAGAAAAAAGGAAAAATAATTGTCAATTGCCAACGTTCCCCTCAGAGATCAATCATGAGGTTAATACTGAGAGATTTCGTGATTCTGAATAGGTCTTACCCCTGAACCAGTTAGTTGTTCAAAATTATCATGTCAGCAACGGTGGTTCACAGCTGAGAGAAGTGTCTTACCATCAAATGGTCATAGTTATGTTGCTGTTGTATAAAATAGAAAATAAATGATACCACTTGATCACGTAAAATCACACTAGCATATTCCAACAGCTTAATTTTTAAAAGCTATGTTATATTAATAATTTAACCACATAGATCTGAGCTAGAATAAATGTTAGCATATTTAATTGACAATAATTTTTTTGCTCTCTCTAGAGAGCTGTAGATGAGTTTTGGGGTTATCAATCAAAGGGTTCTGACTTTTTTTTGACGGATGGAGTCTTGCTCTGTCACCAGGCTGGAGTGGCAGTGGCACAAATCTCAGCTCACTGCAACTCTGCTCCCTGGTTCAAGTTGATCTCCTGCCTCAGCCTCCTGAATAGCTGAGGTTATGGCACACACCACCAGTGCCCAGCTTATTTTTGTATTTTTAGTAGAGACGGGGTTTCACCCACGTTGGCTAGAATAGGTCTCAATCTCCCGACCTCATGATCGCTGCCGCCGTGGCCTCCCAAAGTACTGGGATTACAGATGTGAGAGCCACTGTGCCCGGCTGGTTCTGACATTATTTTTAAGAAAGATTAGGCTGATGCTATGGTAACTCAGTTATTCATGATACATGTCATCTTGTAAGTAGGAGTATTCAATATTCATGATTTTGAAGCTGTTCCAGAGTGCTATAATCACCCCACTTGACAGACTTCAGAATTCGTTGAAAATCTCTGGAAATAATTAGCAAGTTGTTATCATAGGCTGTAAACAGACCTTCAAAATGCATTACATAGTATTGGTAAAACAGATTGTCAGTCTGCCAAAAGTAGTCACTTTGATTTGATTTGCCTTGAATGAAATTTTTCAAATGTAAAGCTAAACTCTTCAGGATCACTGCACTGGGTTTCTATGGGACAACACTGAACAGGGCTGCCACTGAAACACCTTGGATGAGAGCCTCAAACTCCCTGAACACAGCATCCAGCACACTACTGGGAGAATGACTGGGACTCAAAAATGTGTGCAATGAATGTACTTATGAGCTTGTTGGAGAGGAAGTAAAGAGGTTGTATGTAATTACCTCAAATTAGTACTACTACAGAGTAATCAGTACTGGTAAAGTAAAAGTAGCGCTAAAGTAGTACTAATAAAGTAGTACTAATAGCCCTACACTAGTAGTAGTAATAAAGTGACATTGCTATTGATTCTGTCCGTCTGTCTACCTACCTGTCTGGATGGGAGGACACAGGATTTGACTGATAAGATTGGGCTTAGCAGTGAAAAGAGCTCATGCATACTTTGAGCAGGTATGCACTCAAACTTGGTATCATGTGACTGTTCTGAATTCCAGAACCATGGCTAAAGGGTGGAAGTTTTGTTTGACTGTGTCTCACATTTTCCTTTTGGTCTATTGTCTAACACATGTTGCTAGAATTCTTTTTACTCTACCTTTTATGTACAGACAACGCTGTTACTGACGAGATCACACCCAAGCGGATCGGAGATTGGCCCAATACTTACACCTACACCAAGGCTTTGGGAGAAATGATGGTGCAGCAGGAGAGCGGGAACCTAACCATCGCCATCATAAGGCCCTCCATTGTGGGAGCAACGTGGCATAAGCCTTTCCCAGTAAGGCCACTTACCTGGATTCTGTGTTTTGCTTTCAAACTAAGGTTTTTCTAGCCCAATTATTTTCTGATGTCTTTCTTCTTCTTCTCCTCAGGATTCATAGCTAAGTGCAGCCAATCAAATATGAACCCATTATACTAGGGCAAAATCCCACTTTGGGATCATGAGGCTCTTCTGGCAGTTACCCTGACTATCTTAGAGTTGGATGGATTTCACTTTTCCCACTTCCACATATGGCATAATCAGGAGCTGTGCTATACCGCTCTCCTGGCTCTGTTTTCCAGGGAACAGACGTAGATATAAACAGTTCGATTTCCCACCTTGTAACCTAAATCAATGACCTTATGATAATTTGTAGGGGTACTCCTTTTTAAATTTAAACTAAGACCTTCCTAGAAGTAATCTATCATCCCCAGTCGCAAGGTCCACAGACCCCTATTGGAACTTTTTGCGGGAGTTCCCCATGCAGAAGGCTCAGAGCTTGTGCAGCATAAATCTACTGCGGCACTACCGCTGTGGCGGGGGAAGACATTGTACAGCGATGAGGGAATGGTCCTGAGCTGGAAATGCCCTTCGTTTGGAATGGGGCCTGGGACGGTCTCCTCATAGCATTTCCCAAAATCGGGTTCCCATCTTTTGACACTGTTTACCCAATTTTTCCTTTTCACAATCTGGACCATATTTCAGGATCAGCAGTTTTCTTTCTTCCCCATATCTGGTGGGTCTGATTTTTTCCTACATTCTGTTTTAGTATGAACATGCTTCCCAACAAGTTCATATATGAGCCCTCCAGGAAAAAGAATATTTCCTTATCCACTCTCAGTCCTGCCATTGTCTGTGCCAACAAAAGTAGTTTTAAAGCAGATTACCTCTGATACCCCATCAAAAGGCCTTGATATAATCATCAACTAATTCGTATCAACTAAATGTGCTTTCCCTCTAAAAAGGTCGCAGAGCAAGCCTTGCACTCGGGATTAGCATTGTTGAAAGCTAAATAAACACAACACTAATACCCTGAGCAGTCCGAATCTGCAAATCACCCTAGCACCCTAGCCCCCTAGTCCTCCGCCCCTAGCCCTAGTCCTCGCCCCTAGCGCCCTAACCCTAACCCTAAGCCCTAACCCTAACCCTAGCCTAACCCTATACCCTACCATTTTTGGGCTACTGTTCATTTATAAGACTTTTTGCTGGTTTTATTTTTAATTTTAAAAAAGTTCTTTTTTAAAAAAAAAGAGAAATCCTTAATTTCAAAGACTTTTCAAAATAAAACTCATCAAAGGAGTAATGATAGCACTTTACGTGTTTTAGTGATAAAAAAAATTTAAAAAGAAAAATAGTTTCATCTGCCTTTCATATTATAACCAGATCGTTGAAAATAATATGCTTCAATTCTGAATAGTAAAGTAGCATTTACCTTTTTGGATCAATGAAGCTAAGCCAGCACTAAGAATCTGTCATATTCATACGTTAGAGTTATTTCTCATTAATCCGCATAATGATCGTAAGTCATTTGATTATCAAATCAACCTAAAGAAGAGATTTATTTGGGTTACACATTTTAGAAAATTGTTTCTTGGACATTGCAGTAATCTCTAAATTTCACAGGGCTGAGCAGCTTCAATGAACTATCTAATTCGAGTATTATTAAGTCAAAGATCAGCCAAAGCATGTGGCTATTTTCTGCATTTTGTCCATAGTTAATTTGGCCAGGTTGTTGTCATACAGGAGCCATGAAAGTTTTGCAGCGTTTTGGACATCTTAGGCTTACGGTGAACCTTGTCCTTATATCATGATCTGCTAAGCAATTCACAACATACTTCTTCCACTCAGTCTGATTTAGTCCTTACGAGGAGAACATTGAAAAACATGATTGGTAGTATGTGGTGTTGACTGCTTAAAGATGTTACAGGAAAGATTATGTTAAGAGTAGTTAAGGGAAATGTCTTTTCTGAGTTTGTTCCTAAGGCCAAGCATTCAGCTGACCTTATTATATCCCTTTACCTTACGTATAACGTCGAAATGTGTATAATGGGAGACAAGAGATATGGAGGAGAAATGAAGGGACTTTAGTCTTCATTTTCTCTCATATCTTGTCTCCCATTTACACATTTCGAGTTTATACTGTAGGTAAAGGGATATAAATCCAAGGTCAGCTGAAGGCTTGGGGCTTAGGAACAAACTCAAAAGACCATTTCCCTCTAAACTACTCTTAAACATAATCTTTTCCTGTAACATCTTTAACAAGTCAACACATTACAAAAAAAAAAAAAAAAAAAAAAAAAAAAAAAAAAAAAATAAAAAAAAAAAAAAAAAAAAAAAAAAAAAAAAAAAAAAAAAAAAAAAAAAAAAAAAAAAAAAAAAAAAAAAACCCAATCATGTGTTTCAATGTTCTCTAAGGAGGCTAAAATCAGGACTGAGGTGGAGGAATATGGGTTGGTGAATTGCTTAGCAATCCATGATATAAGGAAACGTGTTAAGATGTCACAAAAGTGCAAAACCATTCATGGCTTCCTGCTATGAACAACAATCCTGGGCAAAATTTTAACTATTGGACAAAATGCAGAAAATAGCCAATGCTTTATGCATTGATCTTTGGGATCTTAATAATAT